TTCTCGGGTGGGCTTCAGGTGCTGGTTAGACCTCTGTCAGGCCAAACCAGCACTTGAATTATCCAAGATTTGGGATCCCTCAGCCTAGCTACTGTTTTTAGAAAGCTTTTAGGGGTTTGGGGGGAGATCTGGTAGTTTATATTAATCATTCTCTCATAATTTTCTCCGGTTTAAGGAGACCCTTGTTGGCCATGGAGCCATTGTTCTTGATGAACCTGTTCTGTATTCACATTTGGTTTGAGATCTGCAGGTACCTCCGAACTCATAAAAGGAGGCTGTGGAGAGAGAAAGCTTTCAGCAAATAGAATCTGCAAAAAGCTTCACATTCTGATGCTAATCACTATAGAAACAGTCAGTGCAATGCCAGAGAGAAGTCACAGCGAAACATGTGTCTGTTTTTACAAAGCACTATAAATATCCTTTCAAGTCAGAGGTCAATAAGATGGTGCTAGCAGGCAAAGGAAGGAAACTGACAGCAGGAGCCCAAAGTGGATATTCCGCTCTGTGAAAACTGCACAAAGTTTTCCACCATTCCATAGTAAATTCAGTCTCTTCTGGGGTTTTCAGATGCAAAGGGACTTCAGCATCATGCATTTAATTGATGGTGCAAGGTTCTGAAATTAAAATGGTTCCAAAATACCTGTAAGAGATGCATGGGCCTTATTTCTTCTCCAGTGAGTGCTCAGCCTTCCTTATAGTCCAACTCACACAGCCATACAGTACTACTGGGAATACCATTGCTTTGACCATACGGACTTTAGTTGGCAGGGTGATGTCTCTACTTTTTAATATGCTGTCTAGGTTTGCCATCGCTTTCCTCCCAAGGAGCAGGCGTCTTTTGATTTCATGGCTGCAGTCACCGTCTGCAGTGATCTTGGATCCCAGGAATGTGAATTCTGTCATTGCTTCCATGACTTCCCCTAGTACTTGCCAATGAGTGATGGGACCGGATGCCATGATCTCAGTTTTCTTGATGTTGGTTGTATGGAAGGAGCAGCTGTTTTTGAGAAGTGACTCAAGGTGTTCTCTAATGTTGTTCGTGTTTTGTATTCCGCGGTTCCAACAGTGCTGTTTTTAGTTGTGATAATCAGCCTTGAGGCTCGGGGAGATATACATCAACAGCTCTAAACTGGTCTGCTGCAGAAAGAAGGCAAAATGTTATATTTGTTGACCGTTCAAATTACGGGGGATCAGGATCTTTCTACTTTGGACAAAACTCCCTGTGTTTTCCCCAGTAGCAACTTGTGGGGGGTGATTTGCCTTGGGGACACCCCATCTCTACCACAGCTGCTTTGAGATAATAATGAGATCCAATCATATATCTCCATCACTGTGTTTTGTCCCTGGGGGCCCTCCTCCTAATGTAGGCATATTATACCAGGCAGTATATCTTGTATTTAGAAGTCAGGTATATGAGATCACTGTAGATGAGATTATATTGCATATATGTTTTCACATTGTGTATAAATGGCCTTGTTGAAATGAGCGTGTAGAAACATTCATAGAGGGCCCCCCCCCCTTTTTGTGATACAAATTGCTATTTTTTGTAAATACAGGTTTTGGATTTCAAAGCCGTAATCTCATCATCTTTTTATGGCGCTGAATTATATCACAGGAAATTGCTTCGATGGAATGACTTCTCATGTTTCCATCTCTCTGCCCCCACATTAAGAAGTTACATAAATCTTAACACCGTTGAGGTTATGGAGCTATTTTTAGGGTTCTATATAATTTATCTAGAGAGGGTTCTTGCTGCTGCTGCTGCTTTCTGATATGGTCATTTTATGGAATAGAATTAAGGTAGTTTCAATTAACAGTGTATGTTAAGGGGCTGGGTGGGGAAATGGAATGCCAGGCTTAAAGAGGTTTTCTCTCTAAATTGTATTGCAGCTGGCAGACGCTCAGCACTTAAATGCTATATCTAACTGATCTGAATTTCTGGGTCTTCCAAAGGGAGGGGTACAAGGTACCTACATTCCAATTCATAACATGAAATGTGGCCCTAGCGAGCTTGACAGTTTTTGGTTGCAATTTGAAGCACAAATCTACTTCCCACCAGCCTTTCCTGAGCTGTGGGAATTCATGTTGATATGGCATTGCCATACTTGTATGAACAGACCCCCACCCCCACCCCCAGTTTTCCTTTCTGTGCAAGCTTGTTCAGGGAAATCCAACCTATTGGATTATCTGTCTGTCACTAAGACGTGTAGAGAAGGGGGCAAACACCACCCCCTGCCAATGCTCCCTCTAAGCTGTGGAGTCCTGTGAGCAAAAAATTCTACTTTGGGGGGGTACTGCATAAATTAGTTTGCTCTGGAGCCATCCTTCCTGAGCTAAGACAAAAAGGTGTGAGCCAGAGGCTAAAAAACTGTGAGCTAGCTCACACTAACTCTGCTTAGAAGCTACACTGCCCCCTGCTATTTCTGCTGATGCAAACGGCACAGAAGGGAAGCCAGAAGCCACCCACCCACCGCGCAGCACCCTAGAGCCAAACAAAGCACTGTTAGGATACCCTGTTCTTCTGTGCAACAGTGAGTTGGGATGAGCACACATGTACCAACCCATGAAAGATGTATTGTCTAGTTTGGGCCTCACTCTTTCTGTGAGGTTTTCTTTGTTCTACAGGTACGGTTTCAGTGTTGTGCGAGTAGATTTGTTTTTTGAAAGGCCAGTCTCTTACAGCAACACACA